TTGTTTCTTTTTTCTTTTCTTGTTTTGTATTTTATTTTAAAATTTTAAAAATTACCAAAAAAAACCCAAACCCAAAACCAAAACAAAACCGGCGGGGCTCGATGCAAGAGTTAGGAAATTAAAGAAAGATAATCTTCAAAGATAGTGTTGTTGGGCCAAATAGAATACTATGAAAATTAAAGGGTATAAATATAAAGTGTTATATGTGCATATGAAATACCAACTTTATAGGAACACAAGGGGTGGATGTGGTTAGAAGTTTGTCTGAAAAAGATCTGGTGGTTTTAGTGAACCATAGTCTCCATATTATCACCAGTGTTATATTAGGCAGCTAGATGGCACAGTGGATAGCATTCTGGACCTAGAATCAAGAAGCACTGAACTGATTTGGCCCCACACACTTGTTAGCTGTGCGATCCTGGGCAAATCACTTACCCATTCTCTGCCTTAGTTTTCTCATCTGTAAATGGGGATAATTATAGCACCTGCCTCTCAGGGCTGTCATGAGGATAAGGTGAAATAATACTTGTAAAGTGCTTCACAAAACTTAAAGAGCCATCTACATGCTATCCTCATTATCAAGCAATCACAAAAGCTAATAAGACTGTGATAACTGTGATGTTTATTTGATGTTGTGGTTATAAATGATAGAACTCCAATAAGGAGTCATTTAGGTTGAGTCGTTTTAGTAACCATAAACATATAAGCAATGAGAAGGGCTTCTACTTTTCCACTGACTTATTCCAATCCTATGTCAAGCAGTTAGTCACAAGTCCTGATTCATGAGACTCCAAGGCCAACTGCAGAACCACATCTATTCCTGGGTCTCTGATGACCAACTCAAACCCAGGCCTTGTTATGTGTCTAAGGCCAGATTTGAACTCAGGTCCTCTTAACTCCAGGGCCAGTGCCCTATCCACTCTACCACCAAGCGACCCCCTTCATTTTTGTAGCTTGAGTACATGGGACATTGTGCGTAGTGGGTGCTTAATAAATGATTATTTACTCAACACATTTTTGAATTAAATGGCAAGAAATCTCTTGAAATGATGGAATATATGACACTGTCCTAACACAGGAATGTGAAGAGTTTCTGAACTGTGATGAGTCTGAGAACCTTCTTGGACTGGAGGAAACCAGCTATTTTACTTCCCAGAGTCATACTGATCCATGAAGTAATGAGAGGCAGTGCACTCAGAAACCCATTCTATGGAGAAGAAATTGTGCAGAATGGAGTAAGGTGAACATGCGTTCTATTCATTCACTAGTTCATAGCGGCAACCTGTGCTGTTATCTAAACTGGCCACAGAGACAGGCTGCTGGGAAAAGTAGTAGATGAGATTTATCTTTGGATCATTCAGTCTCCCTCTTAAGTGTACATCTTTGGTTGTTGGTGCAGAGAAAACACAGATCCCCTCATGCACTCAGAGTGCAGACAAACCTACCTTTACCTTAGGTACATAGACTTAGGGCCAGGAGGGACATTAACATTCATCTAATTCAACTCCCTCTTTTTATAGATGTAAAAACTGAGGCCCAGATTGGTTTATGGGACTGGCCCAAGAGCCCATAGGTAGCTCATCCATGATTTTGAAAGAGGACCAATGACATCATGATATTGGGTAAAATAGTGGATGATCAGTGATGTCCTGAGTTGTGTGTAAATTGGACTTAATGAGGCAGAGTTGGGAAAAGTCATCAGTCTCACTCTCTGTTCCTGAGTCATTGAAGTCCAGTGGCAGGAAAAAAGCCAAGATAACTGGCAACGGTCTGGGATGCAGTGAATGACCTTGGCATCTTCGATGTCTGACCAGGCTCTAAGTACTCCACAGTGCTTGCTTCAGCTGCCTTCATGGCAATTGGAACAAATTGTTCTCATCTGCCCATGCCCCTGAGGGAAGTCTTCACATACTTGGAGCAGACATCCCCCTACCACCAATGGGTTTGAGGCTTCTCAGTTACCTTCAACCTCATTTAGCCTCTCTGCCAAGATGGTTTTACCAGCGGGTGACCACTGTATATGTTACACAGAAGAGTTGGATGACAAGTGGATACCAGAGGTGGATGAGCAGCCCTGAAGAAGGCTTAGCAAGACCTCACACCAGAGGTGCTGGTCCTCCTTTAACATCCCATACATTCCACATTGGTAGTAAATGCTATCAGTACTATACAACCTGAAATTATTCCTTTTAGCTTCTTCCATCAAAACTCCAATTTCTTCAGCTCTCTCTTCTCAGCTAACTGTTGCAAAGCAGCACAGCAGGTTGGAATAGAGCACTTATTTTTGAGTTAGAGCATTATGTTATGGTGCTTAAACTAATTGAGTGGAACCTGGGGCAGCTAGGTGGCAAAGAGGATAAGAGCTCTGGGTCTGGAGTCATGAAGATTTATCTTCCTGAGTTCAAATGTAGCCTCAGACACCTACTAGCTGTGTGATCCTGGGCAAGTCGCTTAACCTCATTTGCCTCAGTTCCTCATCTATATAATGAGAAGGAAATGGTAAACTACTCCAGTATTTTTTGCTGGAAGGACCTCATGGACTTTGTCTATTGCTAATTTGTAGTATTAAGTCACACTAAGGTTCCAGTGACTGGTAACCAAGTTAGTATCTCACCCTTCCCAAAGGAATTTGCATTTAAAGAAATTACAGATGCTTATGTTAGGTAAAAATCTAAAGGAGTGATTCCTAAATCACAGGCAATGCAATAGTATGCAGAGGAGATAGTTTCAGATAGAGGCTGCTTTTAGCCATGTTGCTGGCTGTTGTCTAAAATCCTTAATTCAAATGTTACAGAGTCCATGTATGTTCTCCTTGGTTATAGTTCAACCATTGTATTTCAAGAGAGATATAAGGGGGCAGCTAGGTGGCAGAGTGGATAAAGCTCTGTTCTTGCAGTCAGGAGGACCTGAGTTCCAATGTGATCTCAGACACATAACATTCACTATCTGTGTGATCTTGAACAAGTTACTTAACCCCATTGACTTAAAAGAGAGAGAGAGGGAGAGAGAGAGAGAGAGAGAGAGAGAGAGAGAGAGAGAGAGAGAGAAGAGAGAGAGAGAGAGAGAGAGAGAGAGAGAGAGAGAGAGAGAGAGAGCGCTATAAGAAGCATCATGCAGATAAGTTGAAGTAGTAAAGATGACATTGGACTTGGAGTGAAAAACACTGGGTTCATTTAGTTCCTGGCTCCACCATCACTATGGAATCATGAATAAAGAATTTTACCCCTCTGGGGCTCATCATCTTTTTCTTTTTAAGTGGGGATTTTGGACCAAATCAGATTTATAGATTTAAGATTGGTGTACTTTTAAAAAATATTTTGATAAATATGTCAATGATATTGGTTTCCTTTATGGTCCTATGTAAATCAATCAACATTTATTGAGAACCTACTATGTGCCAGGAGTGCCAAACTGCATACATTGTAAAATGTTATTCCAAGAAGGGGCCCTTAGGTTTCACCAGACCAATTGCCCAAAGGGTCCATGACACAGAAAGCTTAAGAGCCCCTGTGCAGGTTTAAGAGCCCTGTCTAACTACCATTTAATGATTTGTGGTTTCAGAGAGGTCAGGTGTGTTGCCTGTGTGGGAATCTATTGAGAACTGAAATAATCCTTGACCTCTTCAGCATTTGACAATTAACCACCTGATCCTAGCTCCTCTTTGGCTTTTCGTGGTACCAGTACTCTCTTTCCTCCCACTTGTAGAACTGTTTCTTCTCAGTCGCAGGTGCTGTTTCATCCTCTACATCACACCTTACCACTGTAGGTGTGACCCAAAGCTTTGTCCTGGGATGTCTTCTCTCTTTACACTCAGTCATCTGGTGACCTCATTGGTTCTCATGGATTTAATTAACGTCTTTATACCAATAGCTCCCAGATCTATAATCCAACTTGAGTCTTTCTCTAAAGTGCTGGCCAGGCGTCTTTTTATCTATTTATTTATTCATTCATTTATGTATTTATTTATTTATTTTGTGGCCATGCATCTTAAACTGACTGTTTGACATATCTAACTTAGGCATCTAAAATTCAACACATTCAAAACAGTACTCAACTTTTTTCCTTTAAACTCATCCCTCTCCTGAATGTTGCCATGTCTGTCTGGGGCACCACCATCATTCAACTGATCTGGATTAGCAACTTCACATACACAGTAACTCACCCAATCTTATCATTTCTACCCCTGCTGTGCATCTTGCATCCAATCATTTCTCCCTACTCAACATTGCCACCACCATAGTTCAAGCCCTACTCTCCTCTCTTCTGGGTTACTGCCATGGAAACAAAACACAGACAATTTGACACTTTTGTCTCTGGGACTACCATCTTCGATCCTCCCTGGTTTTCTTAGAAAACAAGATGTTTTTTCCTAAAAAATAAGAATGTTGTTAATGTTAGAAATGTAAGAATGGTAGAAACATTCAGTCTACCATCTCTGTACCTTTTCACTGGCTGTCTCCTTCATCCCTGAAACATACTCTTCTTCACCTCATCTCTGCCTCTTAGAATCCCTTATTTCCTTTAAATCTCTGGTTATGTAACATTTCCTATATGAAGCCTTTCCTGATTTTCCATCTACTAGTCCCCTTCCTCCCAATTTCCCTGGTTTCTATTTTGAATTTATTTCATATATTCTTATTTATTTATAATTGTCTCCTCCAATAGAATGCAAGTTGCTTGACAACAAGGACTGTTTTTTTTTCTTTGAATCCCCAGTTCCTAACCAGTGCCTTGAACATCATAAGTGCTTGCTTGATTAAAAAATCCATTAGATAAATGAACAGTAGGCAGGAATTATGAACTTACCTTTCCAAAGTTTAAATCAAACATATTGTCTAATAGTATTGGCAGTGATGTTGTTAAGTTGCTAATTAACCAGAATTGACAAATGTTAGTGATTATAATGGCCCAAATTGCGAGTGTCTTGATCATAGCTTTCAAAGGCAAAGACCAACTAGTGGAACTGTCCTAGAAGAAAAATCAAATTATCAATACTTTGGTCAGGCTGTCACAAATATTTTTATTTTTTAAAAATTGTATTGATACCTTTCCTCTCCCTCTCACTTCCCCCAAACACCACTGTCCCCTCTTGACATAACTTTCCTGGCTCCATGGACTCCTCCTTTGTAGCAGAGAGGAGAAAAGTAAAGCACCCTGACACTATTTCCAGACTTCACTGTTTATTGCTTATTTGTTTCTTTATCCTGTTTCATCCTTAAAGCTCTGGAGTCAAGACTAATCTTTGCCCTAATTCCAATCCAGTACTTTTTTGGACTGTTTACATTATCGTGGCCAGTGTGTACTTTGTTCTCTCTGTTCTGCTTTGTTTGCTCTGCATCAGGTGATAACAAATCTTCCAGAGTTTTTTTTTAGTTTCAAATACTTATGACAATAAAATATTCCCTTTTGTTCGTTTTTATAATTGTATAGTCATTTTCCAATCAGCAGGCAACTTTGTTTCTAGGCTTTTGTTTCTACGAAATAGTGGCACTGTGAATATTTTGCTATTCAAAGCTTTCCTTCTCCCCTTGACATTTGGAGTGCATGTCTTGCTGTAGTAATGCTAGTTCAATAGTTCTGTATATTTTCATCACTTTTTTTTTCACATAATCCCAAATTATTTTCAACAACAGTTGGGCCAATTCAGAGCTCAACTAATATATGGTGCACCTGTGGGTTTGTCTTTTTGCAGTCCCTCCAACAGATACTATTTTCATCCCTTATTTACTTAGTGAATTTTAGGAGTGTAAGGTCCACATCTTCTAATTGTGTTCATTTGCATTTCTGTTATTAGCGATTTCGAGCTTTTTTCTTATCATTTCTGATGTGTTGAGCACTTGTGAGCAATATAGGGGCAACTTAAAGAAGAGCTCTCACAGCCATTCAATTCTGATTGCATGATGTCGAGGAAAGAACGTTGAAGGTGGCTACAGGAGACTTGAGTTCAAGACAGCTCAGTCCTTTACTAGCTGTGTGACCTGAGATAAGTCACTTCATTTTATTTGGCTATAGTCTTTTTCACCTGTAAAATATGGATAGAAATGTTTTGTTACTACACTTACCTGTTGTTGTAAGTATATATATATATACATACACACACACACACACACACACATATATATGTGTATAGATATACATACATACATAGATACATATATATACATACATACATATATATATGTGTGTATATATATATATATGTATGTATGTATATATGTATCTATGTATGTATGTATATCTATACACATATATATGTGTGTGTGTGTGTGTGTGTATGTATATATATATATATATATACATACACACACACACACACACACATATATATGTGTATAGATATACATACATACATAGATACATATATACATACATACATATATATATGTGTATATATATATATATATATATATATATATACACTTTGTAAAGCATTAAACACTATGGAAAAGCTATCTTTCTTTTTAAAAATAATTCTTGCAAATATGTTTTATTTTTACATCACCTAAAGTTTCTCCAATATCTCTCCTCTTCTTGCTTTTCAGAGAGCTCTCGTGTATAAGAAAGAATATTTTCAAAAAGAAAAACAGGGGAGGGGGAACCAAGATGGTGGCTGTGAAAGCAGTGACTTGCTTGAGCTCTCCCCCAATCCCCTCTAAATACCCATAAAAAAAGGCTCTAAACAAATTCTAAAGCAGCAGAACCCACAAAAAGACAGAGTAAAACAAATTTCCAGCCCAAGACAGCCTGGATGGTTGATCGGAAAGGCATATCGCACCGGGTAGAGGAGGAGCGCAGTTCGGCATGGGTGGGCAGGCCCCAGTGAACCTAGAGCAGGCCTCAGAAGACTTCATCACTGGCAGCTGTGGAGGCTTCCAGACTCCTCAATCCACAAACGCCAAAGACAACTTAGAAGGTCAGTAGGAAAAGTCTATTTTTGCTGTGAGAGAAAAGCTAGGTCAGAGTCAATTCCAGAGTGCAGAGCACAGAGCATGGGTGCTGGGCCGGTGGCTGTGTCCTGACCTTCCGGCCCACAGACTGAGGGGGAATCAAGTGGCTGATCAGAGGGGGACTGCAGGGATCTCTTTGGTGGTGCTGAAGCAGGAATCTCTTGCTTTGCCTTGCTTGGATCTGGGTCACAGTTCTGGGTGGCAGTCCTGGGGTGAGGAGGAGCGTTGGCCCAGTGGAGCTTGTAGTGGCAGTGGAGAGGAAACCATCCTCACAGTTCCAAGAGAGAAAAGACTGCTTGTGGCCAGTCACTCAAAGACCAGAGCTCAGGCCAGGAAAAGAGTCAACACCTTGACCCTTATCATACCACCTTGGAAGAACTGAAAATTTATAGGTCCCTGGAAGTATCTCTGAAAACAGCTGTACAAAACCACAAAGATTGGGACAGTACATTCTCCACATTGGAAGCAGACTCTTACCTTAACACAGAGTTTAAACTCACGTTGTTGGCCGGGATCATTAGCAAACCTCGCAAAAAGAGTCAGACTGTATTATCTTACTTTGGTGACAAAGAAGATCAAAACATACAACCAGAAGGCAACAAAGTCAAAGCGCCCACATCCAAAGCCTTCAAGAAAAATATGAACCTGTCCAGGCCTTGGAAGAGTTCAAAAGGGATTTTGAGAAGCAAGTAAGAGAAGTAGAGGAAAAACTGGGAAGAGAAATGAGAGAGATGCAAGAAAATCATGAAAAACAGGTCAACAGCTTGCTAAAGGAAAACCAAAAAAATACTGAAGAAATTAACACCTTATAAAATAGCCTAACCCAAATGGCAAAAGAGGTCCAAAAAACCAATAAGGAGAAAAATGCCCTAAAAAGAAAAATTGGCCAAGTGGAAAAGGAAGTCCAAAAGACTACTGAAGAAAATACTTCCTTAAAAATTAGAATAGAGTAATTGGAAGCTAGTGACTTTATGAGAAATCAAGACACTGTAAAACAAATCAAAAAGAATGGAAAATTAGAAAACAATGTGAAATAACTCATTGAAAAAGCAACTGACCTGGAAAATAGATCTAGGAGAGAGAATTTAAAAATTATTGGACTATCTGAAAGCCATGATCAAAAGAGCCTAGACATCATCTTTCAAGAAATTATCAAAGAAAAGTACACTGATATATTAGAACCAGAGGGCAAAATAGAAATGGAAAGAATGCACTGATCTCCTCCTGAAAGAGATCCCCAAAGGAAAACTCCTAGGAATATTGTAGCCAAATTCCAGAGTTCCCAGGTCAAGAAGAAAATATTACAAGCAGCCAGAAAGAAACAATTCAAGTATTGTGGAAACACAATCAGGATAACACAAGATTTAGCAGCTTCTGCATTAAGGGACCACAGGGCATGGAATATAATATTCCAGAGGGCAAAGGAGATAGGATTACAACCAAGAATCACCTACCCAGCAAAACTGAGTATAATCCTTCAGGGGAAAAAATGGTCAGTCAGTGAAATAGAGGACTTTCAAGCATTCTTGATGAAAAGACCAGAGCTGAATAAAAGAGGTAAGCAGTAAATAGAAATCACAAGAGACTTATTAAGGCTGAACTGTTTACATTCCTGCATGGAAAGATGATATTTATAACTCGTGAGACCTTTGTCAGTATTAGGGTAGTGGGAGGGGAAAAATTATATGTATGGATAGATAGATAGATAGATAGATGTGAGAGAGAGAGAGAGAGAGAGAGAGAGAGAGAGAGAGAGAGAGAGAGAGAGAGAGAAAGAGAGAGAGAGAGAGAGAGAGAGAGAGGGAGACAGACAGACAGATACATGGATAGATAAAGGGCACAGGATGAGTTGAAGATGAAGGGGTGATATCTGGAGAATAAAATTAAGGGGTGAGAGTGGATTATACTAGGAGAAAGAGAAAGGGAGAGGTAGAATGGGGTACACTGTCTTGCACAAAACAGACAACAAAAGGTTCTTACAGTGCAGGGGAAACAGGTGAAGGTGAAAGGAAATGAGGAAATCTTGTTCTCATAAGATCTGGATTAAGGAGGGAATAACATACACACTCAATTGGGTGTGGAAATCTGTCTTGCCCTACAGGAAAATAGGGAAGGAAGGGGACAAGAGAGCAGGGGGATGATAGAGAGAAGGGCAGATTGGGAAAGGGGTAATCAGAAGGAAGTACTTCTGAAGAGGGACAGGGTCAAAAGAAAGAATAGAATAAATGGGTGGGGGGCAGGATAAGATTAAGGGAAATAGAGTTAGTTTTTCACAACATGTCTACTATGGAAGTATTTTACATAACTGCACATGTACAATCTATATTGAGTTGCTTGACTTTTCAATGAGGGTGGGTGGGGTGGGAGGAAGGGAGAAAATTTGGAACCTAAAGTTTTAAAAACACATGTTTAAAAAAAATGTTTCCACATGCAACTGGAAAATAAGAAATACAGGAAATGAGGTACAGAAATCTATCCTGCCCTACAGGAAAATAGAAGGGGAAGGGGATAAGAGAAGGGGAGGGAGAGATAGAAGAGAGGGAAGACTAAGGGAAGGGGTATTCAGAATGCATGCCATCTTGGGGTGGGGGGAGGGGCAAGATGTGGTGAAAATATGGAATTCAAAATCTTGTGGAAGTAAATGTTAAAAACTAAAAATAAATAAATTCATATTTAAAAAAATTTTAAATTAAAAAAGAATAAAAAAGAAAAATAGGAAGACGAGAAAAAGAAATCAGTAAAAGTGATCAATATATTGCAAAAGTCTGAAAATACCATGTTCTGCACCTATAAACCTCTCATCTCTGCAGTGGGGTTGAGGGAGATATCTTCTCAATATCTTTTCTTTGGCCATACTTGGTTTTTGTAATTCTGAAGCATTCACTTTTCTTTTCATAAAATTAAAGCAGGTTTTATTTATCTGTTTTGCTAGTACATTTCAATAAAATTGTTAGAAAACAAAGAATTTATTAAGGTACAGAATATTTAAAACACTACAAGGTTATAAAATCAAAAGCATATTTTCAGTGGAAAATATTAGATGTCTCTAATATTAACTTTGTGCTCCCTTTAGATTAAGTAATATGTTAGAGGAAAAGAAACCCAGAGATTCATTCTTAGCTTTTTATTTGCCAGCGCTCTTCTCTATGTGTATATATTTCTCTTCACCCATTGTTTACAGTATTAGTTGGTATTTTTATTATGTGTTGTTATGCCAGTTCTAACTCTACTGCTCATATTCATTCATTGAAAGAGGAAATGGTAGGGAGTAAAAAGAATAAAAATAAGACAACATCTATACAGAAACTTTTCATCTGCTGAAACTTTGAAAAATATTGTAGCACCTCTTAACATCAACTCTGGATTTGACTTAGGCCGAATCCTAGGAATTTTAAAGTTCAGTGTGTTTAAGCCCTGAGCTTTCTCAGCTTTCCATATGAAAACCTTTTCTAATGTTTTCTCATGAAAACCTTTTCATTGCTACTACCTTGGTTATGGTGTTCAGGTAGTCCTGAATTTCTTAAATTCTGTCTCCTCTGGTTTTTTGGTCATTTGTTTTGCTATATTTCACATTTCTTCTAGTTTTTTGGTCCTTTGGCTTTGTTTTTAACATTTTTGTAGTCTCATGTAATCATTATCTTCCATTTGGGGCCCATTTTAATTTTCAGTGAGTTTCGTTGTTCAGGACTTCTGCTTCTGGGAGCCAAGACGGTGGAGTGAAAAGGTAGTCGCTCTCACTTTGCCTTATCAACCTCTAAAAACCCAGAAAATATCACCCCAGAAAAAAAAAAAACCTGGAACAGCTGAACTACACAGGAAAAGACACAAAATCCTATTACAGCAGAGGGAAAGAAGGGAGGTGGGGAGAGCATTGTTTAAACCTTACTGTCATCATATTTGGCTCAAGAAGGGCATAACATAATCAGTTAGGTATAGAAATCTAACTTGCCCTATAGGCAGTAGGAGGGAAAAGGGAAAGAAAAGGAGGGGAAAGAAAAGGGAGGGGGAAAGAAGGGAGGGAAGAAGCAGTAAGAGTAAAGGGGAAGAAAAGGGAAAGGGATAATAAAAGGGAGGAGGGACTAAAGGAGGCAGTGGTCAAAAGCAAAACACTAGTGAAGGGGAGAAAGGAAAAAGGAGAAAGAAAAGCATAAATGGGGGAAAGGATGGAGAAAAAGACACAGATAGTAATCATAACTGTGAATGTGAATGGGATGAACTCTCCCATAAAATGGAAATGGATTGCAGAATGGATTAAAAACCATAATCCTACAATATGTTGTTTACAGGAAACACATTTGAAAAAGAGTGACACATACAGGGTAAAGGTAAAAGGCTGGAGCAGAATATATTATGCGTCAGCTGAAGTGAAAAAAGCAGGGGTAGCAATCCTGATCTCAGACAAAGCAAAAGCAAAAATAGATCTAATCAAAAGAGATAAGGAAGGAAACTACATCCTGCTAAAAGGCACCATAGACAATGAAGTAATATCATTACTAAAACATATGCACCAAATGGTATAGCATCCAAATTCTTAGAGGAGAAGTTCAGGGAGTTACAGGAAGAAATAGACAGCAAAACTATACTAGTGGGGACCTGAACCTCCCCCTCTCTGCACTAGATAAATCTAACCACAAAATAAAAAGAAGTTAAGGAGGTGAATAGAACATTAGAAAAGTTAGGTATGATAGACCTCTGGAGAAAACTGAATGGGGATAGAAAGGAATATACTTTTTTCTCGGCAGTACATGGCACATACACAAAAATTGACCATGTACTAGGGCATAAAAACCTCACAATCCAATGCAGAAAGGCAGAAATATTAAATGCATCCTTTTCAGATCATGATGCAATAAAAATTATTATGTAGATAAAAAATAATTGGAAACTAAATAATCTAATCCTAAAAAATGATTGGGTCAAACAACAAATCATAGAAACAATCAATAATTTCATTCAAGAGAATGACAATAATGAGACAACATACCAAAACTATGGGATGCAGTGAAAGCAGTTCTTAGGGGAAGTTTTATATCTCTAAATGCTTACATAAATAAAATAGAAAAAGAGGAGATTAATGAATTGGGCATACAACTAAAAAAACTAGAAAAAGAACAATTAAAAATCCTCAACTAAACACAAATTAGAAATATTGAAAACCAAAGGAAAAATTAATAAAATTGAAATTAAGAAAACTATTGAACTAATAAATAAAACTAAGAGCTGGTTTTATGAAAAAAAACAATAAAATAGATAACTTTGGTTAATTTAATTAAAAAAAGAAAGAAGAAAACCAAATTACTAGTATCAAGAATGAAAATGAAGCTACCACCAAGGAAGAGGAAATTAAAACAATAATTAGGAATTATTTTGCCCAACTATATGCCAACAAATTTGACAATCTTAGTGAAATGGATATATTTAAAAAATATAAATTGCCCAGATTAACCAAAGAGGAAGTAAAATACTTAAATAACCCCATCTCAGAAAAAGAAATTGAACAAGCCATTGATGAACTTCCTAGGAAAAAATCTCCAGGGCCAGATGGATTTACATGTGAATTCTATCAAACATTTAAAAACAATTAATTCCAATACTATATAGACTATTTGGGAAAATAGGTGAAAAGGTGTCTAAACCAGGAAGAGTCAAAATAGAGAAAGAAAATTATAGACCAATTTCTCTAATGAATATAGATGCAAAAATTTTAAACAAAATACTAGCAATAGATTGCAGCAACTTATCACAAGAATAATACACTATGACCAGGTAGGATTTATACCAGGAATGCAGGGTTGGTTCAATATTAGGAAAACTATCAGCATCATTGAGCATATCAACACAAAACCAACAGAAACCACATGATCATCTCAATAGATGCAGAAAAAGCTTTTGATAAAATACAACACCCATTCCTATTAAAAACACTAGAAAGCATAGGTATAAATGGAGTCTTCCTTAAAATAATAAATAGCATTATCTAAAACCTTCAGCAAGCATTATATGTAATGGGGACAGGCTAGAAGCATTTCCAATAAGATCGGGGTGAAACAAGGATGTCCATTATCACCACTGTTATTCAATATTGTACTGGAAATTAGCTTTAGCAATAAGAGAAGAAAAAGAAATTGAAGGCATTAGAATAGGCAAAGAAGAAACAAAGCTATCACTCTTTGCAGATGACATGATGATATACTTAGAGAATCCTAGAGAATCAAGTAAAAAACTACTTGAAATAATAAACAACTTTAGCAAAGTTGCAGGCTATAAAATAAACCCACATAAATCATCAGCATTTCTATATATTACCAACAAAGCCCAACAGCAAGAGATAGAAAGAGAAATCCCATTTAAACTTACTGTAGACATTATAAAATATTTAGGAGTCTACCTCCAAAACAAACCCAGGAACTCTATGAACACAATTACAAAACACTTTTCACACAAATAAAATCAGATCTAAATAATTGGAAAAACATCAGTTGCTCATGGGTAGGCCGAGATAATATAATAAAAATGACAATCCTACCTAAGCTAATTTACTTATTCAGTGCCATACCAATCAAACTACCAAAAAATTATTTTATAGAGTTAGAAAAAATAATAACAAGATTCATTTGGAAAAACAAAAGGTCCAGAATATCAAAGGAACTAATGAAAAGAAATGCAGGGGAAGGTGGCCTAGCAATTCCAGATCTTAAATTGTATTATAAAGCAGCAATCATCAAAACTGCTTGGTACTGGCTAAGAAATAGGGAGGTGGATCAGTGGAATAGGTTAAATATGCAAGACACAGTAGTCAATGACTATAGTAATCTATTATTTGATAAACCCAAAGACCCCAGCTTCTGGGATAAGAACCCACTCTTTGAAAAAAACTGCTGGGAAAACTGGAAAAGAGTATGGCAGAAACTAGGCATAGACCCAAATCTCATATCATATACCAAAATAAGGTCAAAATGGATTCATGACTTAGATATAAAGGCTGATACCATAAGCAAACCAGGAGAACAAGGAATAGTTTACCTGTCAGGTCTATGGAGAACAGAAGAATTCATGACCAAACAGGAGATAGAGAACATTGTGAAAAGCAACATGGATAATTTTGATTATGTTGAACTGAAAAGTTTTTGCACAAACAAACCCAATGCAACTAAGATTAGAAGAAAATGGGGAAAGAATTTTACAACCAGTCTCTCTGATAAAGGTCTCATTTCTAAAATATACAGAGAATTAAGACAAATTTATAAGAACACAAGCCATTCCCCAATTGATAAATGGTCAAAGGATATGAACAGACAGTTTTCAGATGAAGAAATTAAAGCCATCTATAGTCATATGAAAAAAATGCTCTAAATCGTTATTGATTAGAGAAATGCAAATCAAAACAACTCTGAGGTACCACATCACACCTATCAGACTGGCCAACATGACAAAACAGGAAAATGATAAATGTTGGAGAAGATGTGGGAAAATTGGAACACTAATACATTGTTGGTGGAGTTGTGAAATGATCGAACCATTTTGGAGAACAATTTGGAACTATGCCCAAAGGGCTACAAAAATGTGCATACCTCTTGATCCAGCAACAGCACTCCTAGAGCTATATCCCAAAGAGATCAAACAAGTGGGAAAAGGACCCACATACACAAAAATATTCATAGCAGCTCTGTTTGTGGTGGCAAAGAATTGGAAATTGAGAGGATGCCCATCAATTGGGGAACGGCTGAGCAAGTTGTGGTATATGAATGTGATGGAATACTATTGTGCTATAAGAAATGATGAACAGGCTGACTTCAGAAAAACCTGGAATGACTTACATGGTCTGATGCTGAGTGAAGTGAGCAGAACCAAGAGGACTTTGTACACAATAGCAGCCACATTATGTGATAACTAATATTGTTAAACTGAACCCTTCTCAGCATTACAAGGATTTAAGACATCTCCAGAGGCCTTGGGATGGAAAATGCTGTCCGCATCCATAGAAAGAACTATGGAAGAGTTCATTGTTCAGATAAAGTTTTGCACCTCTAGTTCCAAGCTGTTAGTTCTTTTTCCAACTTTCAGTTGTTTTGTGATGGTTGTTCTTTCTATTTCCATTATTGTATTCATTTTGTATATTGTTTTCTTAGCTCTGCTGACTTCTCTCTAATCAGTTCATGTAGCTGTTTTCATGCTTCTCTGTACTTATCACACATGTTATTTCTTACAGCTCTGTCATACTCCATTACATTCATGTGTCATGGTTTGTTTAGCTATTCCTTGGTTCAGGGACATTTTCTTTGTTTTCAGTTCTTTGCAAAATGAAATCCTATGAATGCTTTGGTGTACATGCCTCTTTTATTTTTATCATTATCTTCCCTGAGGTATATGCTTAATAGTGGAATCTCTAGGTCAAATGGTATTGAATTTTAGTCACTTTATTCACATAATTCTAAATTGCTGGCCAAAATGCTTGTACTAATTCACAGGTCTACCACCAATGCACCAATGTGTTTATCATTTCATAAGTCGTTCAACCCTAACTATTCCCATCTTTTGTCATCTATGGCAATTTCTAGGTGTGAAGTAAAACTTCAGTATTGTTTTGATTTGCATTTTTCTCATTCTGAGTAATTTAGAGCATTCTTTACAAGGCTATTAATAGTTTGCAATTTGTCTTTTGAGTATCATTTGTTCATAACCTTGGATTACTTATCTATTGGGAAATTACTTTTGCTCTTTTATATATTTGTTAGTTGTTTACATGTCTTGGATACCAAATCATTATCTAAGAAATTTTATACAAAGACTTTTCCCAAGCCAGCTGTTATTTTTAACACACCTGTTCAGCCAATGAAGAAATAATGTATTCTCTTTCACTGTCACTTATAAATGGGTGTTTCATAGGGTCATCATGAACCACAGAAAACCAGATAATAGAGAAGACACAGCCAATGCCTCCTAGGGAAAAGAGGACCAAGTTAATGCTTTTAGATTTGTGTCTTATTTGATATGACTCTGCCCCAAGTTGACATGCTCCCACCCCCATCTTGTAAAAGCCATCAAGCACAGAATTCTAGTCATTACTTAATGAGCAAATATTGCCCTTTTATTTTTTTCATTTACCCCAACTCACTCAGATTTCCAACTCACATCATTATTCTCCACTCATCTAATTCTCTCAGTTTGTGTCTAGGAGAACCTCCAAATTGGCAGACTTTTGCCATCAAGCAACTTATTAAGTATCACAGGTGGCAACAGAAATTAGAGCAATGTCTTCTTTCCTATGTGTATTCTTCACATGTACCTGGGAAGCTTAGCATAGATCATTCTGAGGACTATTGCCAGGTTTAGAAATGTTTAAGAAATGATCTGTAGGAAATATCAGTCTAAGTTGTTTTTTTTTAATTGCTTAGAGTCACTCTTTTTTATTGGAATTTGTTCCATGGGGCAGATCTTGGGCTTTCAGACTTAGGGAACTGAGGTTTCTTTTCACCCAAATTTTGAGCCCCTGACATAGCCCCAGCTGTAATGCTTGGTAAAGCTAAGAGGCAGTAACAAAATAATGGCTTATTATTTTTACTCTTTATAATAACCACATATGCTCAGAAAAAGCACAGATTACTCTGTGGTGCTCTGAAGCTTCATTGAAGATGATTAATCCGTACTGAGGTCCATAAGTTATTTTTTTACATGACAACAATGAGATGTCACAGTTTATTCTTCTTTTTACATTGAAATATGTGTTTCTTGATGACTGTTAAATTTACGAGGAAAAGAAATTTAAAACATGTCTGTTATTAAATCCATAGACTTGGAACTTAACCAGAAAATCAGTGGCTCCTTCTTTAGAATCTCAAGCAGAGGTTTCTTGAAGGCAGCTCATCCCCTGAGAACAGATAATCTTGGAGTGATTTTGATGAGCAGAAGCCATTGATGCAGATGTTGGAATTTACATTGATCACTTACATGATTCTTGACTATTGCTCAGAATTCCCTCCAATAGTGACACCTTTTTAAACAGTCTGTGTTAAGAAGACCTATTTAGTTGAGGCAACATGGAGCACCAGTGATCTCTCCATGACAGGATTTCTTTATAGTTAGATAAACTAGACCTGATTCAAAATCTATCAGCATTATTTCCATGTTGATGAGATCTGGCATTGCCTTATCTGACTGCAATCTATTGTCATTCTACCTCTCTCTCTGCCTTGCAATCCCAAACCCTATTGTTCATCTACGCCCTGACCCACCTTGGCTCACCAGCTCTTTCCCAGCCCATCACCCTTACACTACACTCTCCTCCTTTGCCCATCTTGAAATGATTGTGAACCACTTCAATGATACACTTCCCTTGAGTCCCTTGCTCCCTTATCATATTGCTGACCTTGCCCTACAAAGCCTTAGTCTTTGGTCACTTCATCCATATCCTGCTTACACTCTTAGACATGCCGATGAATGAAGGTAGGGGGGAAAATCATGGAACTATGTTGATGGGTTACACTAGAAATTCATATATCCCATAGCATCAATGAATTTATGTTATATGACATCACCTGGGACTTCCCTATGGACTTTCTCTACTCAACTCACTATCTTACTTACCACAGTAGCTGTTTCATCCCTCCTCAAACCCATGACTCTCTGACTTCCCATCCTCTCATATGAGAACCTTGCCCCATATTTTACTTAAAAATTGAGATCATCCACTGATAGCTCTCTCTTCCCTCCACCACTATCTCCTTCTTCAACCCTGTTTCACATGAGTAGGTCTTCTTGACAAGGAAAACCATTCTACAGGCATCATGATCCCATTCCATCCTGTCCTCTCTAGCACACTGTCTCCCTATCATCCCTACTCTCTCATTCATCTTCAATCTCCCCCTATCTACTGGCTGCTTCCTTACTATCCACAAACATGTCCATGTCTCTCCATCCACACTCAAGAACACTGTCTGCATTAGATGTGTCAGCTGCTTTTCCTCTCACTCTCTTCTTAACTCTCTACAATCTGGCTTCTGACGTCATCACTCAACTGCAACTGCTATCTCTAAAATTACTAATAATGTATTTTTAACATCTAATTTCTTTAAGGAGGCAAGTGGGGTTAACTGACTTGGCCAGGGTCACACAGCTAGAGTCAAGTGTGTGAGGCTGGATTTGAACTCAGGTCTGCCTGAATCCAAGGCTGGAGCTGTATCCACGGAGCCACCTGGGTGCCCTAATAGTCTCCTAATGGACAAATTTAATGACCTTTTGGGCAACTACATGGTACAGTGGATAAAGCACTGGGCTTGGAATTAGAAAGACTCATCTTCACGAATTCAAATCAAGCCTCAGAAACTTACTAGTTATGTGATCCTGGGCAAGTCACTTAACCCTGTTTAATTCAGTTCTTCATCTTTAAAATGAGCTGGAGAAGGAAATGGCAAACCACTCTAGAATCTTTGCTCAGAAAATATCAAAATGGGGTCACAAAAAGTCAGACATGATTGAAATGATTCAACAACAATGACCTTCTTACAATCCTCATCCTTCTTGACCTTTGACATTGACAATGTTGGTCACCTTCTTTTCTTTCATATTTTTTTCTTCATAGGTTTTGGTGACACTGCTTCTGCTTTCTTCTGTTTCTCCTCTTACCTATCTGACCACTCCTTTTCAGTTTCCATTGCTAGATCTTCATCCAGGTCACTCCTTTCAACCCTGGCCCCTATTCTTTTCTCCCTTTATACTGTTTCACTTGGCGGTCTCATTAGCTTCCATGGATGCAATTATCATCTCTAGGCTAATGACTCTCAAATCTACTTATGTAATCTTGACCTCTCTGTTCTCTTTCATTTTTGCCTTTCTAACTGCCTATCAGACATCTTGAACTGGGTGTCCTGCAGACATTTTAAATTCAACATATCCAAAACTGAACTCATCATATTTTCCCCCAAGCCTTCTTTTCTTCCTAATTTCTCTATTACTGTGGAGAGTCCCACCATCTTTCCAGTCCCCCAGCCTCAAGCCCTAGTGTCATCCTTGATCCTTCACTCTGTCTTACCTTCTACATCCAATTTGTTACCACATCCTGTCAATTTTACCTTTATTACATCTCTCCTGATGCTCCTGTTATTCATGAGAATGAACCCCAAAACCTGAAATTGTTTTAGAAAAAATTTTAATAGGTTGTTTGGTAAAGCAGAGAGCAAGAAGAAGGTGTGTATCCCTTATGAGTCTCCATAAGATTTATGTTTTATGGGTTCAGACAAGAATATCAGCACAGCAACTGCTAATATTCAGCTGTGCAACTTTGCAGAGAGGACAGCTCCCAAGCAAAGTCCATTGAGATGTATATCAATAAACATAAACATCTAAATTTGGGGAACCCAAAAGACAAGAATTGGGTTGACCCTAAAGAAGATCTGAGTGGCATCTAAGCATTTCCTGAAGCCATTCAGCTTTTCTGGAGTGTCTCTGAGTTCAGTCTGACCTATACAGTAAGCTTCTGGGTTAGACAATTTCTAGCCCCTAAAGTTAGGGTCAAATAACATAATAATTAATGTTTTACTGAATAACATAATACAATAGTTCCCTACACCCCCTTCTCTTCTGAAACAGCCACAAATCTGATGTAAGCCATTGTCCTCTCACACCCAGACTTGCACTAGCCTACTGATTGGTCATCTCCTCACAAGCCTTTTCCTACTCTGGCCCAGCTACCACTCAGCTTGTCTAATTGCTCTTCCTAAAATACAAATCTGATTACACCATCCCTCTACTCAATGAACTCTAGTATTTCCATATTTCCATGCTCAGATATAGAATCCTCTTTTTGGTTTTTAGTGTCCTGCATAACCTGGTCCTCCCCTACTTTTCTACTCTTTTTTACATCTTCTACCACTTCACCTCTTCTATCTGCCCACCCCACTCCACATCCTCTGTGATCTGATTATACTGGCTCCTTTCCTGCTCCTCACACACAGCACTCCATCTCCTGACCCTGAGCATTTGCGTTGGTTGTCCCACATGCTTTGAATACTTTCCCTCCTCATCTTTTCTTTTTGCTGTTGTTCAGTCATTTTTCAATTGTGTCGAACTGTTTGTGAACCCATTTTGGGTTTTCTTGGCAAAGATACTGAAGTAGTTTGCTCTTTCCTTCTCCAGCTTATTTACAGATGAGGAAACTGAGGCACATAGGGTGAATTGAGTTGCCCAGAGTCACACAGCTAGTGAGTGTCTGAGGCCAGATTGAACTCAGGAAGGTGAGTGTCCCTGACCTCAGGCCCAGCCTCTAGCCACTGTACCATGTAGCTGCTTCTGCCTTTTAGCCCTAGCAAAAATTGCACCTTCTACAGGAAAGGTTTTAGATCCCTCTTAATTCTACTTCCTTCCCCCTGAGATTATTTCTAATTCATCCTATCAATAGTTTGCTTTTACATAGTTGTTTACATCTCCTCATTAGACCATGAGTGACTTGACAGCAAGGAGTACTTTTTGCCTTTCTTTATATTCCAAGCATTTAGCACAGAGCCTGGCATATACTGGGTGCTTAATAAATATTAGTTGCTTGACTGACTGAAGGCATATTTGTGAAATAGGCAGGTCAAAAATGTTTTTAACTTTTCTTTTAATATTGTTTTTAGAACCAGCTGGGCTCTAGTAGCCAGAGCACTGGACAAAGAATGAAGGCAACTAGTTATATTGATTCAGCCACTAACTTACTGTGTGACCTAAAAAAGATTATTTTAACTTTCTCCAATTTTCCTCATTGGATTAGAAGTTTGAGTAAATTTCTTTCTTGCCTTTTCTAAACCTAATTACTTATGAACTTTTGATGTGGGATCTACCTAGATATCATAAGGGATGCAGATTTCCAGGAATGAAACCCTGAAACATGGAAACAGCTGGATTTGAGATGAAGTCACTTACCAAATATGTAGAAGATACTTGGCCAGCCTGGGGACTCACAGAGGAAACCACCCCCGATGACCACAATGAAATTTCCCATTGTTGTACCTGAGTTAAAAATTCAGAGTGAGTTCAGGGTCAGAGCATTAGGAATTAAAGTTTCTGGGGCTTTCTTTAAACTATTGGAATTAAGGAGAGTGTGAATAACTCATATTTTCAATCTGCACAAAATTTAAAGTTCAATAAGAAAGGGGGACCCAAAGTATTGTGTCTGTAGTGTTCCAATTTTGTGCATGAATTTGACCAGATGACTATTGATGTGTTTTGTAGCTCTTAATTTCTGTGATTCCATTTTATTCATGTTCCTACATTAAAGAACTCTTTTTCTGATTACACCAACATGGAAGTGGGAAAGATACGGAGGGATAGAAATGTAATACAGCTGTTATAATTGGGTCTTTACCAGATAAACCAATGGTACTTAGTTGAGTACGTTCCAGTGGTGGAGCCCATCTTGGCCAAAATGCAGGCAGAGCGCTGAAGTTCATCCCCTGAAATCAAGATGAGAAGACATTTTGAACTGTGAATGAAATTGAGACATGATCTGTCTTACTCACCTACTTTGAAGGTGTGCTGGTACCTGAACCAGGCCTTGTACTATACTTATGACTGTTTTAAAAAATTGATTTATTTTGATTTATCAACAATCACTTCCATAAGCTTCTGAGTTTTAAATTTTTCTCCACCTCCCTCCCTACCTCCATCCCGAAGATGGTGTATAATCAGATATAGGCTATATGCATACATTCCTATTAGACAGATTTTCACATTAGTGATGTTGTAAGTAAGAATTAGAACCAATTGGAGGAAACACCAGAAAGAGGAAACAAAACACAACACAGGAAAAATATAGCAAATAGTATGTTTCGATCTCCATTCAAACTCCATTGTTCTTTCTTTGGATGTAGATAGTATTTTAATCAATTCTGCTCTCCACTTCCATTTTATGGGACTTTCTCAGTTATGATTGACTAATATCTGTGTCTTTCTCTCCATTCTTTTTTCCCCATGTTTATTCTTTTCTTTCTCCTTTCTCTTTTTCCCTGCTCACTACTGTTTTGCTTTTGACTACCCCCTCCTTCAGTCCCACCTCCCTTCTATTAGACCCCTCCCTTTTCTTCCCCTTTACCCTTACTACTTCTTCCCTCCTTCTACTCCACCTCCCTTTACTGGGAAATGACTTCTCAAAATGGGAACCTTGTAGGAAAGTCAACACTTCAGTTACCATCTGAGAGTATAGTTCTGGAATTGGGGTGTGCGTGTGTGTGTGTGTGTGTGTGTGTGTGTGTGTGTGTGTGTGATATCCCAGGATCACAGATTGAGAATTCAAAGGAACATCAAAGATCATCAAATCCAACTTTCATTTTTCAGATGAAGAAACTGAGGCTGAGAAGGGTTGAGTGGTTTGCCCAAGGTCACACAGCTTGGATCCTTCCCCAAGCACACTGCTTAACACATCCATAGCACTTATAGGTAATCCTTTTGCCTTATTTTGCCAGGAACCAGGTCTGGATGAATGTAGATGAAAGTAGACCTCTTCTACTGGAGATGTCCAGTAGAAATCTTAACCTCAACCTCTCCAAAACCAAACACTATCTTACCCTCCCCACCTTCTCTATTACTGTAGAAGACAACACCATAGTCCTAGTCCCTTGGGCTTCTGGACTCCTCACTCCCATATCCAAGCTGTTACCAAGGCCTGTCAATTTCACTTCTGAAGCATCCCTAATATAGTCCCCCTTCTGTCCTGTGACACTGCCCTCACACTGGTGCAGACTCTCCTCATTGTTGTTATTGTTTAATTTTGTCTGACTCTTTGTGACCCCATTTGGGATTTTCACGGCAAAAATATGGGAGTGGCTTGCCATTTCATTCTTCAGTTCATTTTAGAGATGGGGAAACTGAGGCAGACAGGGTGAAGTGACCTGCCCAAGGTCACACAGCTAGTAAGTGTCTGAGGCCAGATTTGAATTGAGGAAAATGAGTCTTTCTGACTCCAGGCCAAGTGCTTTCTCCAGTGTACCACCTAGCTGCCCACAGAACCTCATTACCTCACACAATAGCTGCTGATGGATCTGCCTACAAGTCTCTCCCCACTCCAATTCCTTCTCCATTCAGCCATCAAAGTGATTTCCCTAAATCTCAGGTTCAATCCTGTCACTCCTCTACTCAATAAACTTTAGTAGCTCTCAATTACATCTAGGATCAAACACAAAATGCTCTTTTTGGCATTCAAAGCCCTTCATCACTTATCTGGCTCCTACTCTGCCAGCCTGCTTATACTTTACTCCTTGACAAGTACTGTTTGATCCAGTGACACTGGGCTCCTGGCTGTTCTACAAACCCTCCATCTCTTGACTCTGGGCATTTACTCCCATTCCTAGAATATATGGCATCCTCAAGTCAACCTACTGATTTCCCTGGCTTCCTTTGGTTAAGAATGAACAATAATTCTCAAAAAGGATCAAACTGACATCACTATGTCAAGGTCAAGGTACGGTATGTCTGACTATAGCCGATGAATCCAATGTGAGCTTGGAAGTCTCTGCCATAGGTTGGGCACAGATAATTCATATGAACATTCGGAGTGGAGATGTTTCTAAATGTGTGCACCTCATGTTTCTTTTGAGCTACTGCAATTCTGTTTTGCTCATACAGCATAGCACTTTCTTCAATGTAGGGATGCCCTGCTGGGGTGACCTGTGCTAGTGTCTTCTAAGTCTCACAATCAATTCCTAATTTCTTCAAACACCTTTAAAATGTCCTTCTGTTGCTTCTTCTGACCTCCATGTGAGCACATGCCTTGTGTGATCTCTTTTAGACAAATGTATGTTTGGCATTCAAAAATGCAGCCAGCCCATCTGAGTTGTGCTCTCTGCAGTACAGTTTGAATCCTTGATGATTCAGCTCAAGAAAGGACCTTCATTTTTTCCTGGAAACCTTCCTTAACCTCTTTTCACTGCAGTGTCATACCCCTGTTAATTATTTCCTGTTTATCCTGTATATAGCTTGCTTTGTAGATTTCTTGTCTGGTTGTTGTTGTTTCCCTGTTAGATTGTAAGCCCCCTGAGAACAGGGAGTGTCTTTTGGCTTTTTCTTTACACACCTAGGACTTAGCACATAATGGGTGCTTAATTAATGTTTATTAATGAACCGACCCAGAAATTCTGGATTTTGGATTTAATGTATTGGGGAGTTTTCTTTCTGGATCTTTTAGGAGGTGACTGGTGAATTCTTTCAGTTTCTACTTTTCACTCTTGTTCTAAGAGATCTGGGCCGTTTTCTTTTATGATTCCATGAAATAGATATATCTAGGCTCTTTTTGGGTTTTCATGGTAGTCTAGTAATTCTTGAATTACATTTCTGTTCCAGTTCAGTTATCCTTGTTCTGATATGCACCATGTCCCTCCCCCAATTTTCCATGTTTTCACTTTGTTTTGATATTTTTAGTTGTCTCATGGAGTCATTATAACTCTTGTTTAGTTCATTGTAATTTTCAAGGCATTTGTTTCTTGAACAAGGTTTTTTGCCTTTTTTGTGTGTTTTATAGATGAAGAATTGGAAACAATCAGAGGTTAAGTGACTTGCCCAGGATCACACAGCTAGTATGTGTCTGAGGCCAGTTTTAAATTCAGGTCTTCCTGACTCCAATCCTAGGACTCTATCCACTATGCCACCTATCTAGTTTTTTTTTTTTAATGTGCATAGCAGAACATAAGAGAGGATTCAAAATACACAGCAATAAATTTCCATTTCAAGAAAGCCTATATAAAAAACACTATGCATTGTGCTGAGAGCTGTCCATCTTTTCTTCGCTTCCTTGTAAGTTTTTTGGGTTTTGTTGTTTGGTTTTGGTTTTGGTTAAGCAATGGGGTTAAGTGACTTGCCCAGGGTCACACAGCTAGTAAGTGTTATGTGTCTGAGGCCATATTTGAACTCAGGTCCTCCTGAATCCAGGGCTGGTGCTCTATCCACTGCTCCACCTAGCTGCCCTGTAAGTTTCTTTTGTTTTCTGCTGTGTACTTTTTTACTTTGTTCTTTTTTTCCCCCTTCCTCTCCCTAGAAGGCTGCAATTAAGCACAGATATGCCTGTGTGTCTGTGTATGCATATATGTGTGTGTGTGTGTATATACACCCATACATATACATGCATATATACACCCATACAGAATATATGTATATATACATATATACATATCCATGTACATATACACTTAGATATCTACAATCATACTCATACGTAGACATATACATTCATATACATATATGTAAGACTGTATTATACTTGTTTGTCCTTTGTTTCTCTGAGGGTGGATAACATCTTCCTTCATAAGTCCAAGTCTTGCCATTTTTTCTAAGTCCATCAACTCATTGTTTCCTATACCATATCAATATTCCAACCTTATGCTGTCTAGTTATTTTAAATAGCCTAAAACAACATTGATTACTATGGCATAGTTTCCCTATTTTTCTCTTTTGATTAACTCCATTTCAGTTTTAACTTTGTCTGAGATCATGATTACTATCCCTGCGTATTTCCCTAATAAATTCTACTCCTTATCTTTATTGTGTGCTTACGTGTATCTCTTATTTCCTATCCTTCCTGACTCCGCTACTTTACTTCTACCTGCTAGCTTGACCTGCTATTATTTAACCTACCCCCAACAATGATCCTTCCCTTACTCTCTCCCTACCCTAACATCCCTCCCTTATCTTCTCCTCCTCTCTATCCCCTTAGCCTCTTATTTCTTTCTGAGTTTATAAGACTTTTATGACCTTCCAGATATATATGTAATGTCCCCTGTTTAACCCATTCCCAATGAGAGTAGGGTTCCAGAACTCCCAGCCCTGCTCCCCCATCTAATTCTTCTGTGTCAGTTCTTCATCTCACACTTCATTTGTATAAGGTAATTACACTTTTTATCTTTTCCCGAATGGTTTACTTTTTAGCATCACATCATACTCAGCTCTACCTCATTTCTTTCAGCTACCCAATTACTAATCATATCTTAGACATACAAATACATTTTCTTCTACAAAAAATAAACAGTATGTTCTTATTGAGTCCCTTGTAATTAGTCTTTGATGTTTACTTTATATTTCTCTTGGACCTTGTATGTCAAACTTTCTATTGAGTTGAGGTCTTTTTGCAACAAAATCCTGAAAGTCTGGCAATTCATTGAATGCCCCCCTCCTTTTTTACATTCAAGATTATGCTTGACTCTGCTAGACATTCTATTTTCAGTCTCAACCCCAATTCTTTTCTCTTCCATATATAGTGTTCCAAGATTTGTGGTCTTTTAATGTAGCCACTGCTAGAACTTATGTGATTCTAATTTTGGCTCTACCATATTTGAATGTTTTTTTTTCTTGTTGCTCATAATATTTTCTCCTTGAGCTGGGAGTCTCAGAATCTAGCTATGATATTCCTGTAGGTTTTCCTCATAGGATCTGTTTCGGATGGTGTTTGGTGGATTTTTCCTATTTCTAC